ATAAACTTGGTAGCAGAAGCAGGAAGTTTAATGCGTTCTAAAGCAAAATGCAACATCTTGAGATCAACCGAGTCGAAAGCCTTCGAAATATCTTGTGAAAGGATCCAAAGCGGCGATTTGTTGACATGAGCATCATGGATAATAGATTCCAGGACGACAATAGGGTCGCGACAAGAACCACCAGGAAGACCGGCGAAGTTTCCTCCTTTGAGAACTTCATTCGAAGCTAAAATGGAAGCTAGACGATTATAAAAAAGTTTGACCAAGGATTTCCTAATTACTTCAAGTAAAGTAATAGGTCTTGTATTCTTGAGTTGACATTTCCATTCGTGAGGTTTGGGGATAGGAAAGACCATAGCTTGACGCCATAAATCAGGAATATCTGCAGTATGGAAGCATGATTGGACCAGAATTAAGACCAAAGCCGAAGTGTTGGAACCCAGATGCTTAAGCATCTCATAAGTAATCATAGAAGGACCGGGGGCTTTGTCATTAGGCATAGAAGAGACCGTAGACAACCATTCTTCTAGAGTAGGAGGATCCAGTAAAGAATTATAAATAGAAGAATCCACATCGTCCATAGGGCGATAAACAGAGGACCATCTTTTAGGGAGAGCTGAAATGTTATCCGGGGGAGATGATTTTATAGGTACGGAATTCTGAAAGTGGTTGATAATAACATCGTCAATATCGTGTGGGTCCGTCAATAATTTTGGATGTGTAGGGTGGTCAATAAAGACACGATCCAAGGTAATACGACGTCGAGTTCTTGAGAGAGCGGAATCAATAAATGAAGAGATATCAGTTTCGAAATTGTTATCCCTATCATCCAATTTAGCACGAATGGAAGAATCTTGAAAATCTTTTTCTTTAAGAAGGAGGAGGCCATAAAGGGCACTAGAAATAATCTTTAATGATTCTAATAGAAATTTAAAATCGTCTTGCCTACAAATGGATAAAGAAACAGGCAAAATAGGGGGAGAAGGAATAACCTTCTTATAAAGATGAAGGATTTTTTGAAGTCTAATGAAATGAGTGGACCAAGTATGTTCATATCTATTATAATAAGTGGAAGGATATTTTCGCAATAAACGAATCGAATGCAAAAGACGGCTGAGGAAACGATAATGTTGAGTTAAGGCTTCCAAATCCTTGGGCATCGTGGGTGTATGCTGATTACTAACTGTGACAGATGGAAGCGAAGCATTAGCAGCTTTCACTATACGAGAATGTAAATATTCACATTGTTGATTAATATGCCATGTTGAAAAGGTTGACGGTGGTATGTCGCATAAAGAATCAGTATGAGTAGAGAAAGATTCCCATTGTTGATCAGTAACTGAATCAAATATGAATATGCGGCGAGTTCGACGTTGAAGTTGTTTAGCGCGAGCAACCTTGATCGATGCAAACAAGAGTGAATCATCAAAATAAGTGATGATGGGATTGTGATCAGAAGAGCAGGTGTCTTGAGCATCAAATATATAGGAGGTGAGAGTGAAACTTTTCAACATTGGACAAGACCAAACATAGTCTATACGAGTAACTTGATCGTCACGGTGAAAGGTGCCTAAGGAATCAGAAGCATTAACAGGAATAGTTTCTTCATATCCATGAGATAAAAGATGATGTAGCAAACAATAAGTTCGTCGGGAAGCAACAGAAGGGCGGTTAAAATAAATAGGATAGTAGGTGTCTAAATGCATATTGAAATCGCCACAAATGGCGTGATAAAAATTTTGTTGTTTAGTGTGCACTAATAATTGTAAAAGAAGGTCAATAGTTTCGGATCGTAATTTGGAATCAGAAACAGGGGGAATATAAATAACAAAAATGCGCGATTTAACGTTGCCTTTAAAGTAAAGATCAACAGATAAAATACGTGAGGAATGTGAAATAAAATCTTGTACATGGGAAGCAAGGGATTTTGCAACGAAAAGGGAAACGCCACCAGTAGATTTAACTTGTTTGGTTTTATCTATATCAGATGAAAAGACAGTATAATTAGGAAGGCGTTTGGATAAATAATGGATTTGTTTAGGGGATAAATGGGTATCTACGATACCTCCAAAAGAAATATTTTTAAGGTTGAAAAAATTTGAAATTTGTTCAATTTTAACTTGACTATTATGGCGAAGACCATTAACATTAAAAGATGAAATATTAAAAGAATTAGGGATAGGGGAAGAATTTGGAGTAGTAAATAGAGATTCATGTTCTGAAAAAATATAAGTATCTACGGGGTTGGGTGGGTTACGAACAAATGTATCATAATTAAAATTGTCTGACATTAGAACACAATGATAATAAAGTACGGGGAAAGGAGGTGAGAAGTCAGTTATTGCGAAGGAGCTGAAGCTCGATCGGAGGGAGAACCACCAAGAGAAGCAATAAAACCTTGGATGGAACCAGTGAGCGATTGTAAGGTGTCTTTAATCGCTTTTTGATCTTGAATAACTGAGTTCAATTCATCTTGCGGGGAAGGGTTAGCGGTGGAAGTGGGAGCAGAGTGTATAGTCTTGTCGGGTTGAGATTTAGGAGAAGAGGATTTCATTGGACCAGAAGATGAAGGAGCATCGGGATGTTGAATTAAGGTGCCCGTGTTTTCAGGAGGGTCTTCTTCCATTCGATCAGGTTCAGAATTAACGACAGGAGCGGAGGGAGGATTGATGCCTAAATGGGCTTCAATAGCAGATAGCCGTTGATTGTTAAGTTCAAGATTTGAAATGCGGGATTCCACACGAGCAACATCTTGTTGAAGATTCTTTAAAACATTAAGAATCTTAAGGGCAGCTTCAAGAGCATTAGGAGAATTCGGATCTGGGAGTGGAGCACGAGCATTGGACGAAAAGGAAACAGATCTATCTTTGCCTTTCCGATTATTGGAAGGCGAGCGTCCATGAGCAGTTGAGGAGGAGTTAACTGGACCAGAGGAAGAGGATTTAGTATTGTTAGGGCTATAATTATTATTATTAGAGCGGTTCGAGTTGGAATTAGAACGTTGAGCAGAGGCAGAATGATCCCGAGATTTAGAATGAGAACGAGAACGAGAATTGTTGCGCGGCGTTCTTTGTTGGGCGGGTCTTTGGCCGATGTTGAAACGTTCTTTAAGAGCAGCCACGGGGTCACGTGTACGTGAACGACCACGGCGTTGATTAAGCGGACAGGAGGTAGGAGCACAACCGAGTTTACCACATCGGTGGCAAAGAGCTTTCGAATCATTGGATGTTCCCCATCGAAGAGTGCGACCTTGGAAACCAATAGTTTGCTCTATAGCGGCATCCATTGTTTCTTGCGAGTTGAAGGTAACATAAGCCCAAGGTTTGGGTTTATAAGAATTTAGGGAAAGGGGAATGTTAATAGCTTTGGCTCCATGTTCTTTGACCAAAGGAGCGAAATGGATATCTTTAGTATTAGCGGGAAGTCCAGAAAGAACAGCCACAAATGCTCTTCGAGCAGCTTTTTGATCTAAAGAGTAATGGCAAGGGGTAACACGTAAGCAGGTAGAAAAGCAGTAAACTGCCCATTGATTTGTGAAACGGGAGATGGCATCGGCATGATCATAGACAATGCGAGCTTGTTGCATTTTAGCACCTTTCCTTGAGTAAAGATGGAGAGCGAGGAGATTGCCGAATTTCTTGAAGTAGGATTGGAGTTGCGGTTTAGTAATGAAGAACGGGATATCTGTTACTTGAATTGCACGGAGGTCTTCATCTGACCGGAGCTGTTTGGGATCGTACAGGTGGAATTGTAGGTCCGGAAATTCAGAGTGTGTACTACCAACACACATGTCACGAGCCTCCGCAGTATGGAAGTGAATGATAAGACGCTTAGCGTCCCCTGAACCAGTCATACGAGCCCGACCGGTATACGACTCGTATGTTTCTAAAAATAAGTTGTTAATGGCATCTATGATTGCCTTATTAGTTTTAAGTTTTTCAAGAGTTTGGGGAGCAGAGTTGGGCGCAGCCGCAGCCAGATAATCTTGACGATTAATGGTAATAGTTGGGGAGGGATCGACAGCCTGATCGGGCGATGAACCATCATTCACGTCCATATTAGGGGACGCGTTAGGGGATGAGTTATTTTCTTTGTTTCGAGGTGCATGAATAGACGCGTTAGCTCCAGAGGACGCGTCTTGGCCAGGCGCAGTAGGCGCAGCAGAATTATTCGGGGTAGAAGCTTGAGTATTTTCATGGGCAGTACTGCGGGAATTATTTTGTTGAGGAATAGCGGTCGAAGTTGAACCAACTAAACCACCGTCAGCCGGCACGTCGGTAACGAAATCTTCATCCATGGTGTTATCAGTGATAATGCGGGAACGTTTTTGAGTAGTGCTATCACTATCAGAGCCAGAGTTGTCAGAGAGTTGTTTTTTGTTATTTTTCTTTTCCTGATGAGCAGCCTTATTACTATTAGGGTTATAGCTGCCGCCACCTCTTCTAGCAAGGTTTCTAGACATGTTAGAAGGTATGAGTTGGGTAAAATATAAGAGTTGTTAGTACGAAGATATAAAATTTTCTTTCTGAAAATTTTTGGTCAATAGATCGACAGGAAGCGATCTATCAGTCCTTATCAGTCCTTGTCAAAAAATGCGAGGATGCCTGATGACGAGGTTACATGGTCATCAGTCCTTGTCGCGAAACACGAGGATACCTGATGAATAAGTTATTGGATTATTGGCCTAAAAAGCATTCATGGAAAAACTATGGATTATATTACAGAAAATGTGAACGGAGTTCATGTCACGTGATACCCTGAACAAATGTGTAGAGTGTCACGTGATTTCATGCGGTACGTAGATCATTTCCTTTTTGGGCGATACCCGTTCCACAAAAAATCGATTTGGTAAGAATGCGTTTGGAACCTTGTGTAACATAAATTTCCTTTTTCGGTAATTCGGGATTACGCGGTAATGCCGGCCGGATCTAAAAAATATGACTCTGCAGGGTAATTCCTACGAAAGTCAAGTACAAAATGCTTACTCCTGTTGAGTCCATTCATACCACTCCCAGTCCCCAAGGATCGCCTCCCCATCTTTGTTCACTTAATGCATACTCTATGGTTTCCCTCTCTTGGGGGTCCACGACCATCCCATTCCTAAGCATTTTCTCCATAATATAAAGCTGATCCTCGGTAAGGCGGTTTATCCATCTTTTATAGAGGTCGTTTACATCTTCAAACGTTATCCAGTCAATTTCCCTCTTTATATAATGCTTTCCAAGAGCTCGGATTTCACAGTACACATCCCCGATCATAGTGGCATAATTTTTCCACCTCTTATATGCCTCTCGACGAACTTCCTGCCACCACACTCTATCTACCTTACTCACTGCAATAAGGTCAGTATCCGGGATCTTTGCGAAAATGCGTTCGACTATTTCTACTGGTAATCGGTCCAACATGATGTTATGTTACTTATACTATAGTTATCTTCAATTACTGTATGCCTATTACACATGGATAAAAAATATAAACTAAATTCATACAGAAACCGCTTATATAAGAAGTTCTGCTAAGGTTTTCTCAGCCTCATTCATAGTGACAGCTCGCTTTGGGGGACCTGTTGATGAGTCCTTAGTCACATTATAATACAACTCGAAGAGGGCCTCAAGCTTATCTAGGAAAGCTTGTTTATTCTTGTATGATTCGCGGATTTTTGCTATCTTAGCAGTATATGCCGCATTATCTGGGAAGAGTTTTCTGGCCACGAACTTCACATATGATACAGGAGAATTTGCCGTCTGGATTCGCTTGATATACTTCACGTGGTCCTGGACGAGGTAACTGGTTTTGCTAAACCCAGATACTAATGCGACTACTATAGTATCTTTTAATGCGCGGATAATCTTGGGGACAGTTTCGTCAGAGATAACATTAGGCTGAATGCGCGATGCCTCGTAAATAACCTCCTCACTAGTGCTGTCAGTGCTGTTAACAATGCTTGCGAATTCGGTATATGTTGACATGATTCTTTGTACTTTGTAAAAAATATAAATCTTCAGTTACCTGTTCATTCGAATGAGAAAAAATAAATATGAACCTCGGGGTTTACACTTGGGATACTGCAAGACAGTAGAAGCGTCGCTCGGCCTTTTGCATCAATGGAGAGCCTGGTCTATATAACCAGGGGATAGCGACTTTCTGGATTATCCTAGCCGCTTTATTGTTCCTTCTTTCTATATATCTCCTAAAGGCATTCTGGATCATTTCAGCATGATGAGTATAATAGTCGAAATTAAAATGCTTTGGGCAACTATATAAATGTAGTCGTACCGCTTGATCCATGGAAGCGTCGGCTCCCCATCCGCGATCAATAAAAGATTTACAGTAGGTACAGTACCACCTATTTGGTAGTCGTGATACTATTCTCCTAATGTGCACAATATAAGCATATACATCTTGACGAGACCTTGGATAAGGTGGCCGCTTATAACCTATTCTACTACAAGTATCATAATATTGCACAGCATTCTGAATGCGCCTAGCCCACGTGTGGAAACTTTCGTCGTCTTGTCTACCTAATCCGTCGGTGTTTTGCATTTGGGTATCTCGTAAGATTACATATCCCATAGGTTTATTCAATTATGCCATCACGATATGTCAGTAAAAAATATACATACCGGTCCCTAGCAATCATGTCCAGATAACCTTGTTCGCATTTTTCACATGGCAGTATCCCGCGGTTTCAAACTTGAAAGTCTTTAGAGTCGTATCTGCATTCTCTGAACAAGTGAAAAGCGCGGGGCTATCTGGCTGTTCTTCTAAAATAAATCCGTCTGTATGGATACGTCGTACTTTATCCTTGTATGGTTGAATTGCCTCAGATGTGATTTTGCGACCACGTGCTAATAAGAATGGGGCGATCCTGGGATACTCACCTTTGAAGGGATTACCCGGGTTTGTAAACTGGAATCGCCACTGGTCAGATCCTACTGGTATGATAGAGTCGAGTGTATGGCCCTCTGGAAATGTAAATGGGTCTGTTTGATCTGTGGTGAGTGTCTTGTAATTACGCTTCCTCTGGCATAATGCTCCCCATAATGTGTTGAGGACTCGCTTTGCCACGCGGCCAGCTATGCCACCCTGGTTTTTAATTTTGAAGAGGAAGTGTACATACTCACCGAATATTACAGTTCCAGGGATTCTCGCTTCTCTATCATATATCAATGCATTTGGCTTCCCATCCTGTATTAACTGTATATTGAGACCAAGTTTTTTTGCTCGTTGTAAGTCGATGAATGTATAGATTCCCCTTTTATTCTGTCGGAAGAGAATATTATTTCCACTTACCTTAGCACGAAATAATCCATACAAGGCATAACCCCTGTGGTCAACAAAGTCATTAAGTGTCTGGAATTTACCCCGTCTGATTGGAAAGTTAACATTCGATTGTTGAATACTAGGGTATAAACTTGTTGCGTCGTACTGTCTTCCATAGCCCTTCCACTCGTTATCTGCCCAGATTAATCCTCCCATCATTGCATCACTTATCCACTCTGCTTCTATCGGGTCAAGAGGATCATTAGCCGGAATCCCTACACTTAATCGTTCGAATAACCAGAGAGCCGTTCTTTTGTAAGACCAGTTATGGTATGATAAGTCGATTCCTAAACCGAACTTCTTTGTCTCCTGTAGAAAGGAATTCCGCTCCTCGTGAATTATCTGATATGATTCTTCGAGAGTTTCATATACCCCAGTCTTACAGTTTTTCTCGACGGGGATGAAAAAACTCTTGGAATTCTTAGTTTTTTGAAACTGCCCAATTGTGCAAGAATTAACCGTTTTGCCGTTGTATATTGTGACTACATTATTGGTCCCATCTTCATGGTATACAATGGGTAAATTACGCTTTCTATCTATTTTACTGGGGTGGAGTCTTACAGGATTTAACGCGAGGGAGTAATGGCCTTCTGATAGGATGAGTGTTACACATCTATCGGACTTACTCTTAGAGATTCGGGTAATGTCAACCACAATATTAATTGAGAGACTTCCTGCGAGTTGTTCAACCTTGTCCATGCATGAAACTGGGATGGGAGCATCGCGATTGAGACCTAATGCCTTTTTGATATACTCGGGCTTTTCGATTGACTTTGGCATTTTAGAGAATGTGCCGTAGATATATTTTAGGCATTCATACAGGCAATCATTTAGCTGCCTGTTGCAACCCCATGCAACTGGTGGGGCATCTCTCACATAAATTATGAATCGTTCAAAATAATCAGGGTCTGCGTCATCCGGTAGTTGTGCTTCGTCGTAGTGGTCCAAGAGTGAGAAGAGACTGGATGGTTGATTTCCTGATGTCCATCCACCGGGTTTCCAGTTTTCATAGGGGAGCAGGATCTGAAATTTATGTGTCGGATACCGGAATTGGAGTCGCTGTCCAAGTTTTGCTATTGCTCCTCTGGAAAATCTTGCGCCTGAATACTGTAATTCTTTAATATCCGGTCTTGTAGGTAAAGCACGGACAATCTCTGAATAAACCATTTGATGTATTTATGAATTGTGTTCAGTTGTAATATAGGTTTTTTATACAAAAAATATAAGATAACTAAGAAGTGCTTATCTTATTAAAAGGAGTCAATCTTGCTGCATACACGATCAAGATCCTCTTCATCCCAGTCGTCGATGAGTCCATTGGCGGCTTCCCATTCACGTTCCATATCGGTTTTTGGACATTCATCGGGGATCTCTCGCGCTTTACCCTTATCTGCCCTCATAGTTTCATAACCAGAGGGGGTGGGGATAATTTCAGCATCACGATTATCCTTGTATACTCTTATTAAATCAGAGAGTTCTTTACGACTAGGTGTTTTAGGTAAGTATCCATTATATTCGATCCAGTCCTTGAAGCAGTCTACTACTTCCATAAGGTAATACTGGTACTCGTCCTCAATACGCGTTGTGGAACATTCCTCTACTTCAAAAGCAAGTATTTCCCAGTCATAATCATCTGACGCATCTTGATACTTGGCCCATAATTCCTTACCTGTATTGTAGAGATCATAGAAGAAATGGTCCTTTGAATTTTTAACCCACGGTTTGCGATCCCATCGGTGTCTTTAATGCCAAGCCCAGTGCGCTCGAGTGCCTTCCTTTGGTTCAGGATCCAGGTCGACTTCTGGTTCTGTGTCGGGTTCTGGGATAAATTGCTCTTCAGGAGCCGGTTCTGGGTCAGGCTTAGTGACAGATGCAGAAGATTCTGCGGGAGAATCGAGTTGTTGTTCAGGAGTTGGGTACACAGTTGTAAAATCTGAGTCAGATAGCAAGTCATCTAAAACGTCATAGTCATCATCTGGTTCAGGGGTAAGTTCTTCTTGGTCAGGTTCCTCGTCAGATAGATAACAATCTGAGAAGCTATCTATAGGTTTATCAGTGTCTGACTCATTAGTATCTTCATCGGGATCCGGTTGTTCTTCCCTTAACTTTTGTGGACGTTCTTTTAAGTGATCAGGCTTGGGTGGAAGCGGTGGAGGAGTCTTGCGAATTACAGGTGCGGGTTTTTCCTCAGCGGGTTTCTCTTGTACGTCTTGTGGATTGTTGGCTGGATTATATATATTTGCCAAGAACTTCTCAAAGGCTTTGGGATCTGATGCGGGTTTTTTAGAAGTCTCTATATCGATTCCTTCTATGTCTATCTCGTCTGTTTCGTGGATCCAGTTTTTGCTGAGGAATTTCTTGTAGAGGTCCTCCCTGGATATGCTGTAAACTCGAGTGCGCTTCTTATCAATATACATTCGATCACTATTTATATTTAACTCATTTGATAGGATTCTAGAAGCATTTATCTTTGATAGGGGTGAAATGCAATGAGTTTCGCAATATGAAGTATATACCCTATAAAATTCTTGAACAGGTAGGTCGGTCATATAATTTTTCATTACGAGATATGTGTCCTTTATAAATTGGAATAGCGGTGGAAGAGTCGAGATGATATGTTCCTGTTTGGATGTTGTC